GTGAATTAAATGTGCATCATTATATTATTTATAATTATATAATAATTATAATTATTATTTATAATTATTCTTTTATATAACTTAAATAAAATATATAAACCAATAATAAGTAATTTTAAATATCTAGTGTGTTTAATTATGTTATACATTTATTTTGAACACTTCAATAAACCGCAGTAATTCAGCGCAGTATAGAAGAATAGAGGGAAATAACGGGTGATCTGCTGACAACTAAGAAATTGCAGTGTATGCAGATCTGAGGCCAATTATTGCTTAGTCTGATGAAGTGATAAACAATAATCTAGTCAAGGCGCAAAGAGGGGTTTTGAAGAAACCTCACAGTTAATAGAGAGTAAAAGTGCTCAGGTGCACTGACTCAACTAGCCCCAACATAATTAATTAAAATAAAATAATATAAAATTAAGTAAGATATGATTAAATAATATTAATATTAATATAATATTAATATTATTTGATTATTAATATTAAATTTGATTTTAAAGTCAATATGACAAAAGTGCCGGTGGTATTTAATAGAGAAATTTCGAACAGTATTTAGCTACTGTAATTTAATAATTAAAAATAGAAATAAAAGTGTAATTAATTAATTCAATTATTCTACAGCTGGTTTATGATTCTGTTCTAACACAGCAAGTGAATTTGTTAATAAAACTTTCACAGCAAATTAACAAAACTCCAGAAAAATATGCGAACATAAAAGTTAAGTACGGCTTCGGGTTAGTTGGTTAAGATGCGCTGACTCCGAGCTGCAAATTTGGCAGGACAAGAGTTCGATTTCTGGTATTTGCAGTCTCAAAAAATTAATTACGAATCATTAAATACAAGAATTATTTCCAAGACCACTGATGATGGATATTAGGCAGTTCTTGAAACAGCTTTATGATCAGTCAAAATTTCAATTAATTGTACATATTTTATTTTTGTTGTTGTAGCTCTTCACTGTTCGAAATTTCTCTATTAAAATAATTAACATAATATAAAATAAAATAAACTAAAAGAAAATATAGCATAAAATAAACTAAAATAAAATAATATAGAATAAAAAATAAATAAAAAAATAAAATAAAATAAAATATAAGCATGTAAATGAAATAAAAAAAAATTGAAAGCTGTTAAAATATATTTGACATTAATAGAACATTAATAGAATAAGATGTGACGCAGCATATTGATGTGACACCCTGTCCTCATTTACAACACTTTAATTGATTGTTTATAGACAGCATGGTTAAATTCAAGTCATGCGGTCCAAGAATTCTTTGGTGGTCGCTATAAATCTTTTAACCTTTACTCGTCCTTGTCAGTTTAACCGAATCTCTTTGAAAACTTTTAGTGAACTTTTGTTGTATTTTTAGACAGTTTCAACAATTCTATCTTTATACCATTGCTCAAAATTTTGTATGCTAATTGAATTTAGCTTTAATCTTTGTATTAGTTAAAAATTTTCATGTTAATTTAATTATATATCAAGTTTTGAAAATTTTGTGCTGTTTTATTGAGAACTTAGGCTCATTCATTATCGATCTCAGGAACGCCATCTGTTTACCATCCTTGTCAAGATTTTCGACTATCTCAACTTTCGATGCTGTTTAACCATTGTTGTTCAAATTTCATCATTACAAAATCAAATTTCTGACAATTATTTTTAAATCATTTGAATCTCTAGATTTTGTAAGATGAAAGTAATAACTCATTTCCCTATGCCATGGTATATCTGTTTTTATTATTCACCTAGAACTATTTTTTTTCTACTTCAATATTTCTCATATAACTGGTGTACCTATAACTTATACAAATAATGAATTTATGAAAATTTTAATTAAAAACTTTTAATATAAACTTTCACATTGACTTAAGAAATCATGTCTTTTTCATAAATCTGGTTTAACGACATGTCTTCACTTGGTAGTGTATTATTTTAAGAAAGCACATTAAATAATTAATTAAATTCATACAATTGTTATTGTAAATTAAGTGCATTAGATAATTTAACATATTTAGCAGCATAATTTTAATAAGTAGTTTATTATAATTAATGCCCAATTGTAACAAGTCGAATAAGACATCATAATAGATTCATGTTCATATTGCGAATTTATTAAAATCAATAATTTAATCAGGTGTTGAAAAAATGGCTTTGCAAGGCTTTCAGAAAACTGTAGACTACAATAGATTAGATTTAAAGTATAGATTCAATAAAAAAATGTTATTTTTGGTTTACTTAAGTCAAGTTAGTATTGGGTTATTACCTACCATGCCAAATTTTTAAGTTATCGCATGATATACATATATTTTTTCAGATATTTTTTTGCAGCGATTTATTGCCCTTAAGTTTCTAAACTACTAATATGATTTGTGGCTGTACTTAGGTTTTATAAATATTGTACTAAATGTAATTTTGAATATTATCTTTAAGGATTGCCAAATAGTTTTTTAAAATGATCGATACTATTCAATGCATTATAAATTAGCTGTAAATTTTTACTCACCTAAGTAGATCGTGATACATTTTCTGATCTAAGTTTCCAACAATTACTATAATTATTTTAATGTTTTGTGGATGATCTTCGATATACTAAAAGAGGTAAAATAAAAAAGTAAACATTAATAATTCAGTAAATAAATAAAAAGCATAATAAAAAAATTTATACAATAACAGAGTTACAAGAACTAAAAAATAAAATAATTTGAACTCCCCGAAATACTAATCAATCACTATATATCTATTAAATTACCTTTCGTTTAGACAACTGCACGGGTCGTCCAACAGAGTGATGTTCTTTACGTATAACATTTGTGCACATAGTCAAATCAAAACTTAGCTCTGTCATTAAAGTAGTTCCAGTACTAATTCTCTGACTTCTTCGTGTTTTAACTTTTGTTTTTGAATCTTTTATTGACTCCTTTTTAGTCAATATCGGATCTTCAAACATAACTGTGGTTTCAGCATTGCCAAGCCAGTACACCAACATATCGAAACGTTTTTCTTTTTCTATTTCTTTGGTTATTCGATCATATTCCGATCTGCATTCGGCAATAGATTTTAATAACATTTGAAGAGGTGTAACAGGTTTTTCTGAAAGAAAAAAGAAATGTGAATATTTTGTTGGAGAATATTGATTAAACTAGTCACATAGGTTAGTTTAGAGAAAAAACAATATTACCTGAGTGTTACATTGTTTTCAGGGAGGAATATGGTATTGACATGAAAGAAGCTTTTAATTTCATGTTAAAATGAAGGGAAATGAAGTGGTCTTGTATTAACATCGAGTGTAATTCTTCTAAACTTAATTGAACATATCATTGATACAAATGTAAGATACTATTATATATTTTGATAACAGTTAATTTGCTTCCTGATCATGAAATAAACGACTTTAAAATAATGTTTAATAAACTGTTTTATCCCGTTTTTCAACACATATTTCGAAGTGTTAACTGTAATAATAATTTCTTACGTAAAATTACGCGGTGGTCATTAATTGTTAAATAAGGGTTGTTAAATTTTCAATGACAAATATCAAATGTGTGAGATGTCACGCTCACATTTGATATTTGTAATTAATATACAATGTCTGTGACAATTCTTTAACATGTTAAACTGCATTTTATTGTTTTCGGTACAATTCCAGACAATTCGATCCTTCTAGAAAGGTATAAGGCTTACCTTTAAGCAATCAGTTTAAGATCTTTTGCAAAAACCATCACAAAAGATGGTTTGGTTGTCTTTATCTCGCATTGTTGAAGTCTGATCGGGTTACGCTAAATGGTGTTCGAAAGGTGAGATTTCATACTAGAAAAACTTCTGACAGTTTCGTGATTGGTTGACTTAGTTTTATATGAGCGCGCGTCAAAGATGGACGCCAGCGAAAAGGAAATACGCTATATTTTACAGTTTTTCTTTGATAAATGCGAAAATATAAGCCAGGAGGTTGAAAATGTTAATAACATTTATGGTTCTGATACTGTAATAGTCAACCATGCGAAATTTTGGTTTCGTCGATTCCGTCTCGGTAATTTCGACGTCAAAGATGCACCACGCACTGGAGGGCCAATTGTCGATAATGTCAATGAAATTATGGAAATTGTTGAGTCTTATTATCGTGTAAGCACTGCCTCTATTGCCTAAGAGCTAAATATTACACAAAGATCCGTTTGGAAGCATTTGAATAAGGCTGTGTACAAAAAGAAGCTTGATGTATGTCCACCACACGAGTTAAGGCAAAAAACACATCATGAACTGCTGATGAATCGCAACAAAATCGACTCAGTTTTGAAACGGTTGGTGTCTGGTGATGAAAAGTGCGTCACTTACAACAACGAATTAACGAGTTAAGCCAGGATTGACGGTTCGGAAGGTTTTGTTGCGTGTTTGGTGGGATTGTCAGGTAATCATTTACTATGAGCTGGTTTCCTCTGGCAAAATTTTTAACTCGGAACTATACTATCTACCAGAACAATTGAATTGTTTGAAAGAAGTAATCTCCGAGAAATGGTCAGCTTTGGGCAATAGGAGTGGATTTGTGTTCGATCAGGAAAACGCCAGGCTACACATATCGATAATGACCCGTCAAAAGCTCCGGCAGCTTGATTGGAAATTTCTTATACATCCACCTTACAGTCCAAACTTTGCACCAAGTGATTACAATCTGTTCCATATTTCTGTCATTGGCAAACAATTTTACAGGTAAAAATTCGTTTCAAGAGACGCTTGTTAAAATCAGTTGTCTTGATTTTTTGCCAATAGTTACGAGGTTTATAAAACAGGCATAATAAATAAACCCTCAAAATGGCAACAAATTTTTGGACAAAACGGCGCATATTTGAACTAAATCGGATCATTATAATTATGGTAAATTTCATGTAAATTTCATAATTTCATGCAAAAAAAAATTTTTTTTTTCTATTAGGTATATAGATATATAAATATATCAACATAAAAATATATGCATATTTATTGCATCATAGTAAATAAAATTAATTGTGAGACAATATTCTTGGATAAGATGTTATTGATTAAAATATTCATAATTTTTAAGCAAAATAATTCTAAATATATTTTTTAAATTTTTACCTTTTGCACTCTTTTTGCCAACATTTTTTGCTGGAGCTTCTGCAATCGCAGCTTGTTTTTCCTTCATTTGATCAAAATTTATAACAAATATCTTTCTCCTTAAACCACCTTTTACTTGTTCCAAAAATACATTATGTACTGTATCCAGATAACTTCCGTGGAAGTTTGCTCCATATACCAAATAGTTTTTACCAGGAGCATTAGGACGACTTGCCTGAAATAATAAATATTTAATTAAATTAAAATAAAGTTTGAAATAATTATTTACAGTAGCTTTAGGGGTCGCTCCTTTCTTCATTTTCGTTTGAATGGAATTGTTAAAATATAGTTCAAGAAAGTTTTGAAACTAGTTAATAGAATTAATCTAACAGAATTTTTTATTAATATTGAAATAAAATTCATTGCATTTTGATTTTGTATGTATTAGATATTTAAGCTAAGTTTCCGACTATACATTGACAAATGGAATAGTTTTTCAAATTAAACTATTAACAGATATGGAACTCATTTCACTGACGCTCCTACCTTTATACGAACTTCAAGGTTTTTATTTGTGTTACCATAGAAGGTTAAAGAAATGGAAAACACTGATATTATAATTATTATTTTTCTGTATCACATTAAGCATATTATTATTTTATTATGTTTCACTTTATTGATCTATTGATATACTTTCATCCAACTGTAATTGAAATTACATTTTGAAATAAATTTATATATATAAACTAGTGTTTCCACAGCCCTTCTCCTGCAGCGTTGTTTTTATGTCTGCCAATACGTCTACTTAAAGAATATAGTGAACGGAGTTGTAATTCTGACTGCAGGTCATATATTTTATTATTTTTCATTTAATAATAATCATTTAATATTGTATTGACCTACTATAATTTAATTGTATAAAATCTTTATTTACTTTTTCTTAAGCAATATAGATCTATATATTGAAAATAACGTATTACTTTTGAGTGAAGTTGAGCTCTAAGACTATGACTGATCTTTTTTGTTTCTTGTGAGGCACAATCTTTCAGTGTGAATTGCTTCAATCCATAAAAATAATTTTTTTTTTGTTTTGGGTCATAATATGGTTTAGTGGCAGTCATGTGTTAAGTATGGTCAGAAGACATTAAAATGGGGCTTCTAATTAGGTTATTTCAATATTTTATTTTAACATAGTTTTGATGCCCGTACCAATTAAATTTTTTAAAGTTTAATTTTTATATCTTTATCTAAAAAGTTTGAATAGAATTTTTTTTTAATCAGTACAATCTCGGGCTAAACTAAGATTTTCTCTCTTTTATATTTGAAATGCAATTCATGGAGCAACAATAAATTCCATTTCATTGAAAAAAACTTAAAATCCGGCATAGAAATGCAATCAAGGAATTTTCTACGTCATCTCGAATTGCATACAAAACAATTGCTTTGCTGGAAAGTTCGAGTGAAGAAAATTAAATTGCAAAGTTTGAACGAAACTTCCATGAGCTTCACAAAATCTAAACGGAAATTGCAAAGATAATGCAAATAATTACAATAAGACAACGTAGCAAGTAAGTAAATATTGAAGGCACAGGCAACATCTAAACAAACAAACAAGCAAGCAAGTGAGTAGACAGACAGACATTGTACACACAATAAAATACATATAAAAGCAAACAAATCAAAGATATGCAAAAATGTTTTGCGGGCATTAATTGCATTTCAAAAACTGAAAGAGTATTGCACTTTCAATTAAGCCTGGCAACCGGAAGTTAAGTGCTATATTGAGGCGTTGCTGACGACATTCCATTGAAATGCTTAAGAGCAAAATGAGGTTCGACTACCCTAAAAACATTTCAAACCGACATGAATACTTGGTATCACTTTACAAATTCTAAGCCAAATAAATGCAAATGTCGAAGATATAAAATGAGTGCAATATTTTAATTGAAAGGTGATGCTCTGCCACACCAAAATTAAGTGCATGTGCAACTGCCTGATGCACTTTGAAACCTTAGAAGTTAGTTTCCTTTACTGATCCTTGTTGTCCTTTGCCCTTTGTTGTTTGCATTTAAGTTGCAATTTTGCATCGCATTGAAACAAGGATTTTATTTGAAATGCAAACAATTAATGTATATCGAAATAGATTTATGAGTTTATGAGTTTTTGCTTTTAAGAGGAAGTCCTTTGGGTAGTAGCAAGGCGTTGTGGTTAGCATTATAAGTATGAGCGCTAGTCGAATGAATCAAAAGACAATACGCTATTTGCCAACTTTGTGCTAATATTAATTATAATTTTAACTAACTTTATGTATTTCAAATATTTACTTGCAAATGTTTGAATAAAACAGATTTTAAGTTTTAATTACAATCGACCTTTCAGTGTGAGTTCATAAAAGGTTCAAAGTTAAGCGAACCTAGGCGATATGGTAAATATATTTTTCATATTTATTTATCATTAGCAATCTAATAGTGATATAAACTTTAAAAAGAAAATTAAATACACTTTTTTATGTTAATCAAATGTTTTATATATTGAAATTCTTTTAATTCATTAATATGTATTTATTTGATAAATATGTGTATAAGCATATATGCTAATTAGGCATAATTCATATACACTCATATATCTGGCAGCACTGGTATCATTTCAGTCTACCTTTTCGCTAAAAGCAGTTGTTTAATTTGTCACTATTGTAAAAAGTTATATTGATTTGAAAATTATTAAAATATCTAAAAAAATACGTTTACTCTTTAACATTTAATTATATATGTAAATCATTTAAAAATGGCAACCTACGCAAAGTCAAATACAACGAAATTGAACTATTTTTGAAACAAATCATTATGGGCGATAAAAAATGAGTTGAATACAAGAATATTTAACTGAAACGATAATGGTTAAAAGTTTATGACCCTTTCCGAACGACTTTAAAGCTTCAATAGACGACAAAAAAAATTATGTTGAGTTTTTGGAGGGATTGGAAGAATCACCGCCTAGTTCAGTGATTATTTCGATTTTTTACTGTTCACAACTCGACCAAAATAATTTAAAAAAAAACGACCAGAATTGGGTTATATTACAGAAAAGGAGTTGTGTTCCATTAGGATTATGTCAGGCTACACATGTCTTTGTTAAATCATAACAAATTGACTGAATTTAGAATGTTTTCAACTTTTGATGGATCCCTCGTATATCCCAAATCTTTCACAAATGAATACATTTTGTTTTTTGCAAGATTTTTTTAATGGTAAAAAATTGGCTGACTAAAGTCCTGCTGAAAATCACTTAGTTAAGTTTTTCGCTTATAAACCGCAGAAATTCTACACTGATGGTACTTCAGCTCTTCAAGATTCTCGCTCGGCTACGTGTCTGGTACTAAGATATAATTAAAAAATATTTGTAACACTTAAAATTAAATTAAATAAGGTATATATGTAGGTGGTTTGAATTAAACTCATAACTTATTCAGGGTTTTTTCTAGAAATTAGTTTCTTTGTCATAATTGATTTTAAAATAAAATTTGTTATTAAATAGATATGTTTATATATGCTAAAGAACTATGAACTTACCTAGTTTGAACGATAAAATAAAAAAAATTTGCAGAAATATTGTACTCCTCGTTCATTGTTGGCTGGGGATTTCGTATCTACCAATAAGAGTAACTACATTTGTAATTAAAGTTTACAATTACTCAGGTTATGGCAAGTTATGGTAAGTGCTTCTAAAGCAATTTCGTTTAAATTTAAATTTAATTTAAATAAAAAAAAATACATATTTAAGTTAACATATATCTATGGGTATATTTAATTCAAATAATTAATTTAAATTAATATATAATTCATACAAAAAGTCACAATATATATTGTGTATATGATGATATATTCTTATACTGGTAAAGGAACATGCTAACTTCGTTTCAAAATAACACATATAAATATAAGAAAGTCAATATTTTAACAACTCAAACAAGTAAATCAGCTTTCCGGTTCAACAATAATAAATCATTCTACATATATGTATCTCAACATGGAAGAAGCTTCATTTACAATTAAAGGCAATAAATTTTTATACAACAATTAATCATTTCATTTCTACTGATCATAATCAATATCCTTTGGAACAAAAAAAAAAGCTGTGCTCTAATCTGCCCAAATCTAAGCTAAAAGAAAAATATTTATTTTTCCCCTTTTATCAAAGGAAATTCCTTTAGAAAAACCATTGGTCACTCGTAAAGTGGCATTTATATTTCGGCGGCTTTGAATGAATGCCATACTTTACAGTCGACGCAAACCAATTGTCCTTTTGACAATTATAATTAATGAACATTAACATCCGTTGATAGTAGAAAAACTATTTACGCAGAAAACACATAATTTATTCGCACTCAATAAATCTTAGAGATACTTTTGTGATATGTATTTCTTCATATGTGGGTATAAAAAGAAAAATTCCTCTGTCATGCAATTTTAATTAATTAAAAGGATTAAAATCTTTGAAGAAATAACTAAGATTTCTCACAATAAAACAGGAAAAATTGTGACAAAGCTGAGGATGATTTATTTATTTACTTGTACACTTAACATTTTTTTTAATTCTGGACCATATTATCTTAAAAAAGATTTTTTGTTAGAATAGCAAACTAAAGACAAAACCTTGGAAACGGAATATTTGTATCGACTCATAATAAATTTACAATGAAATGTATTATAAACATAAGTGTTTTGAAAAAGTTAATAATAGAAAGTGATGTTTGTATAATATTTAGAAATCAATATTAATTTCATATCTAAATAACTTAAAAGTGCACATTTCATGAAATAGGTGTAATACAGTGTTGAAAAAAAACTTAAAGACTCTAAATAAATAACCTAAAAAAATAAGAGTAAGTTAATTATTTCCAAAAATTTTGCTAAATGTTTTACACTACGCATGAAGGAACAAATATAATAATGTATGGTATATTATACATATATATAATATATAAAATAAATAATTCCATTCATGTGAGTTATTGGTTATAAAGTTTAGTGTCAGAAACAGAAAGGAAGAGTATCAGAAAGAGAGAGAGAGAGAGAGAGAGAGAGAGAGAGAGAGAGAGAGAGAGAGAGAGAGAGAGAGAAAGAGAGAGAGAGAGAGAGTGATGTCAGCGAACAGTGAAGCTGAACATTCTGTAGTAAGCAATAGCAGAAGTCATTCTGTAGTAAGCACGGTTGCCACTGAAAATTTTTTTCTGTACCAAAATTGGTTCAAAAAGGTACCATTTCTGTAAAAAAAGGTCCAAAATTTCCTTTTTGTCCTTTTTGTTTTCTCGTTCTGTGTTTTTCATAGTGTT